GGTCCAACGCCGTGCTGTCCTAGACCCCTGACCTCTGACCACTGAGTTTGTGAAGCCCCCGTTCCCTCGTATGGAGTTCAATCCCTCAGAACTCGTCCCTTCGTGTCCTCCGGTAGAGACTTTTCGCCGGCCCTGTCCCCTATGAGAACTCCTACCCAAACCAATGCAAAATGACCCGTCTACATAGAAACGAAAACTGACTGAATGGTTCTGTTTTGTTTTTTTGTTTGTCTTTCGTTTTTTGCTTACTATGTAGGCTACTAGCTGTGAAACTTGTCAGTTTTTAATTGAAATCAATTGCAGATGGAGTATTTTAAATAAACACTAATCATGTAAAACGTACGGTTTTCCTTTTTGATGGATTTGCTGTTTATTAGGGCTGCAGTGTGCCAAACGCATAAATGGACAGCCGGTTCCTCGTGATAGGCCTGTTTAATTGTGATAGGAAGTTCTGTGCCCGAGTGTTTGTGATTAGTCAGGACATTCAGGAAGTATTTGTCTTGATTATCTAATATTGGACATCAGTGCGTGTGCAGCTGGAGATAAGCTCTGTAGTGGCAGGGAAGGTCGAAAGGGAACGTTTTATGCTCAGTGAAAACTCCTGTTGCTGAAAGAATCTAGTCAAGTTGGTAGCAACACATTATTTACTCAGTTACATGGACTTAAGTAACATTTCTGATGGATCTGATTGGTTTTCCAGAGTATTTTCACATGATAATTCTTCTGATCTAGTATATTAGTGAGGAAAAGAACTGACTTCTTGCTCAGTTTGGTCATTAACGTTCAGTTTCTAATGAAGTTGAGAACAAAAAAAAGGATTTATGGTACATACTGGTGACCAGTTTCGAGCATTATCCTTTTATTTTAGACCAAAAAGAGAAGGATGTAACCTAACTTACCTCTTATTCTGATAGATGCTGGATGTACATTGACATTAACCACAGTTCTGAGTTAATTTGTACTTAAAACTCTCACTTTTATTTTTAATAAAACAGTTTTAAATAGTATGTAAACCCTGTTAAGGTTTCAGAACATACCATCTGTGCCCCTGTCCATATATGGAAATTAAGCTGCAAGAACAGCACATTTTGAGTTTGTTTTTTGTGATGTCAGACACATTTTCAATTGTCTGCCTACTCAGCCTGCAGCTCATTCACACTGAAGCTATAAGCAGTGTTTCAGCCCAGACTGCATTTTGAATGGGGCAGCCAATCGGAACATAGTTCAGTAACGTACACTGATCAGGCATAACATTGTGACCACCTCCTTGTTTCTACGCTCAGTGTCCATTTTATCAGCTCCACTTACTATATAGGTGCACTTTGTAGTTCTACAGTTACAGACTGTAGTCCATCTGTTTCTCTGCATACTTTGTTAGCCCCCTTTTACCCTGTTCTTCAGTGGTCAGAACCCCCATGGACCCTCACAGAGCCAGTACTGTTTGGGTGGTGGATCATTCTCAGCACTGCAGTAACACTGACGTGGTGGTGGTGTGTTGATGTGTGTTGCGCTGGTCTGAGTGGATCAGACACAGCAGTGCTGCTGGAGTTTTTAAACAGTGTCCACTCACTGTCCACTCTATTAGACACTCCTACCTTGTCAGTCCACCTTGTAGATGTAGTCAGAGACGATAGCTCATCTGCTGCTGCACAGTTTGTGTTGGTCATCTTCTAGTCCTTCATCAGTGGTCACAGGACGCTGTTGGCTGGATATTTTTGGTTGGTGGACTATTCTCAGTCCAGCAGTGACACTGAGGTGTTTAAAAACTCCAGCAGCACTGCTGTGTCTGATCCGCTCAGACCAGCACAACACACACTAACACACCACCACCACATCAGTGTCACTACAGTGTTAAGAATGATCCACCACACAAACAGTACCTGCTCTGTGAGGGTCCATGGGGGTCCTGACCACTGAAGAACAGGGTAAAAGGGGGCTAACAAAGTATGCAGAGAAACAGATGGACTACAGTCTGTAACTGTAGAACTACAAAGTGCACCTATATAGTAAGTGGAGCTGATAAAATGGACAATGAGCGTAGAAACAAGGAGGTGGTCAGAATGTTATGCCTGATCGGCCAGCAGGCTAACAGCCTGTTTAATTCTAAGGGTTAAAGTAAAGTTGGAAAATGGTAAAATGAACTATAGTTCTTTGGTACTTAAACCCACACAAACATCAGGGAAACATGAATGAAATATGGCTAATCTCAGTAGCTTTTTGACCTGCTAACTGTTTTTGGAAATGTGTTTCACTGAAGTAGCATGACTCTTACTTTAGAAAGGGTTTAGGCTGTTCACCCACTTCTGGAGAAAGTGGGTTCTTTACATAAGAGGACCAGAGGCACAAAGTTAGGCTGTCTGTAGAGCTACAGTCCAGTAACACCACCATAACATCACCTTTGGTACCCAAGCATGGCTGCAGGTGGTCTAAGGAGACCTGGCCACCAAACTGTTAAATGACCACAGTTAAAAGAAAAAAAAAATTACTCAGATGAAATAAGCAGTGAATTTTACAACACCGTTGCCTTTGTTTGGACTATTTCCTCCGAACCCGAAGAAAAACTTAACCCCCTATTGCAAAATGTTGCCTCAGGGCAACAAACACATTTTCTTCACTTTACAAAAGGAAGTTTGAGTAAGTCAATAAAAAGCATGTACTTGGTCATACTCTCTCTTAGTGGGCACTTTTAAACCTTTTTAACATTCAGTATAATTTTTTTGTTATGAGAATTTGCAGAAATATGTTTGTTGCCTAGAAGCAACACTGTGCGACAGTGGAACGGAGTTAGCCAGTCATAAGCCAGGCCTCACCACTTCAGGGAACGTGGCTCTATATGATTTCTTCTCATAGTTGCACAGGCAACATATTCCAAAAGGACCCCTGTACACATTATTATTATTATTATTATTATTATTATTATAAATGTTTTTGAACCTAATAATCAGGTCCTTTTTATGCAAGAAAACGAAATTGAATATTTTTTTAAAAAGTGCTCTCAATGCATGCAATACAGGGTTAAAATGAACACAGTTACACCAGCATGTTTACAGATTGCGCCACAGTTTTTTATTCTCTACCAATAAGAGAAATGAAACGACACCATTTTTCATAAATATCTAAGAATCTCTTAAAAATCTCAGCACTGAAGTGACATTTTGTTTAGAAATTAAGTATTTACATACAAAGCTGCAGTCCAGACTCTTAAAAAGAAACGTCCATTACAGGATTTACATACAGGGCAAAAACAAATATGTACACGGTCACACAGACACACGAAACTATGGTATTCTCAGATTAAACAACAAACTCTGAATTCAGGATCACATCCAGGCATCTGTTGAGAAAAAAATAATTCTATGCAATTGGAACAGTTAAATTAGACCCAGAGCAGCAGGAAAGGAATGCTACAACTCTAACGTTACCACTTCTGACTGTTCTGGAACAAACATTTACACGAATCTACAACTGCTGCGTGAGAGCTGAGCAACTCTGCGCATACAGTCGTGTCACAAATGTGAAATCTCAGCTTCCCACAAGACGGGCTCAGACAATTAGAGGAGAACTGACCAAGGACACAATCACAAACCAGAACTGAAATCTTGAGCTGTGACACGTGATGCTAATAAAGGTGGAAACATATATAGCCTGATGTCCAGTTAAATAAAACAGGAATGGGGTTCGGAGTCCAGCTCACAACATACAAAACTTTAGGGCAGGGCTGGACTGGACTGGACTTAACATAAATGACCACAAGGGGGAGCCAAGCTCAGTGACCAAACTGGACGGCTGTTTTGCAATCAATAGCTTCAGCAGGTGCTACAGTTGTTGCTTTAAAGGTGAATTCCACTGTTTGTTTGTTTGTTTTTTCAAAATACCTGCAAATTTCTATGGTTAAAATGTAAACAAAGTCAGTCAGAGTGGTTTGAACTTGGAGCTTTCCACAGTGGTGGTGATGGGAACCAGACGTCTGAAGCCCCTAAAAGCAAGTCATTACACAAAATGTTGTTACAAATCCATGACATCATGTCTGAGACGTTGTTTTACGATAGTTTTGAGACAAGATTTTGGCCTAAAATGTACTCTTTAATAGTCACTGATGGCGGAAAGGTTCATAGAGGTCGTTGTGAGGCAAAACAGTCCCCAAAGAAAACATTTTTTTAGATGTACCACCATTAACAATATATATAAACACTCAGAAGACTCGTGTAGGTTCACTGGCGGTTTTGGATAGTAAACAAAATGAATATATTTGTGTTGTAGTCATGGTGACGCCTGGTTCCCATCAGCACCACTGTAAAGAAATCAGAGTCTTAAGTTTCTCTACAATGAACCACTTCACACCAAACCTGAATGACTCAGTTTAGACCTTAATGTAGAATTAATACAGTTCACTAAGAATTGATCAATGTAGACATTTAAGCTCCTCCCCCCCACCAATCGATACCAAATTCATGCTGCAGAGCCAAATGCTATGAATTCATGGACATAAATATATACACCCCATAAGCTCTGTACCCTGCTGTCTTGCCCATATTAAATTGCTGGTCGACATCCGATTGAGCCAGACTGTTTTGACTGTGTTCAGACTATACAAATTGACTGTCAGAGTAATTTTTCACGTCCCCCCCATCAATGAGTTGTTTATAAATTCTTTTCACGAGCGTATACAGTGGGTAAAAAGGTAATTCAAGCACACACGCAGACTTATCTTTTACCAGTAAAAGACACTTCTAAATTCGATGACTGGATGTGACATTTAAAACCAAACAAACGTCTGAATCTCCTCGGAATATCCCGGCCCTGGTTTCCATTATACAGTCCCAAACGCTCCCTGATGAGCACAATCTAAAAAGAGCAAATATTTACAGAAATGCACAAATAAATAAAATGCCTCTACAGCTCGGTCCACAGGAACCGTAGGAGGCCGTAGTATTTCTTTTCTTTTTTTATTCTGAGAACAACTCGTGGCTCCTTGCGCTGTCTGCTTTAGATTTGTATTCTTTTTTTTTTGCCACTGATGCTTCAACCATTGAGCCAGCAGTTATGGTTTCTCCCCCAGAAGAAAATTCCTTGTTTTATCTTTCCCTCTTTCATTTACATGCATGATATCCACGTCCATATTTTATCCACCTGTAGAACAGAAAAACTTCGCTACTTGAAAAAGCCGGTAGTCTTTATCCATCTAACTCCTGAATGGTGCAGGTGGATTGAACTGAAGTTCTTGCCCAATGAACAGTGGTCAGGGTCTATTCACTCAGAAAGTTCATAGCACGGCTGACCACTCAGACGTGTGACGGTGGAGCCGGTTTATGGTAGGACCCCGGTGGTGCGGATCCAGCACGGGCGGTTAGCGCTGTGCTAGCCTCGCTGTACATGGAGGAAGCGGAGGCGGGCGGCTTCCTGGCCCTGCAGGGAAAGCATCGCGCCACAAACCTCCGCCACGACTCCAGCGTCTTCCCTGACCAGATCCAGACGCCAGAGGTGATGCCCACCACCAGGCACATGAAGTACTTGAGCATGAAGACGGCATAGTCAGGCCCCAGGCCCAGCTGCTGGCGCTCGGAGGCGCAGGAGCATCCCAGCGCCCGCTCCCATTCCGGCCGATAGTGCTGCTCATACACCAGGCACGCCACCACGATGGTGGCAGGAACCGTGTAAAGCACGGTGAAGAGGCCGATGCGGATCATCAGCTTCTCCAGCTTGTCTGTCTTGGTGCCGCCCTGCTTGATGACACTGCGGATGCGGAAAAGCGACACAAACCCGGCCAACAAGAAGAGGGAGCCGGAGAAGAGGTAGACGACCAGTGGGGCCAACACAAAACCCCGCAGGCTCTCCAGGCTTTGGTTGCCCACGTAGCAAATCCCAGCAACAGGGTCTCCGTCTACAGAGCTGAGGGCCAAAACAGCGATGGACTTGACGCTAGGGACAAGCCAGGCAGCCAGGTGGAAATACTGCGAGTAGCCAGCAATTGCCTCGTTGCCCCACTTCATGCCGGCAGCCAGGAACCAGGTGAAAGAAAGGACAACCCACCAGATGGAGCTGGCCATTCCGAAGAAGTAGATAAGCAGGAAGACGAGGGTGCAGAGCGCCGGACCCGTGGTGTCGTACAGGATGTGCCGCTGGTCCCCCAAACCTCCACAGGCCACCCGCTCGTGGCCCGCCAGCAGCCGTATTATGTACCCCAGCGACACGAAGAGGTAGCAAGTGGACAGGAAGATGATGGGCCGCTCGGGGTACTTGAAGCGCTCCATGTCAATCAGGAAAGTGGCCACGGTGGTGAGGGTGGACACAAAGCACAGCACGGACCACAATCCGATCCAGAAAGCTGTGAAGGCGCGCTCGTCCTGGGAGAAGTAGGGCTGGTGGCAGGGAAGGGCGCAGTTGGGCAGGGAGCCCGTTTGCACCCGGTTGTAAAGCGGATGGGATTCTTTCTTGATGGGAACCAACGGCTCACGGCAGCGGCACTCGCGGTCGCACTTCTGAGGCGCGGCCGATTTGGACGTGGCCCGGTGCCTGGACGACCCCTTGGGAGTGGGTTTGGGGAAGGACGGAGATAGAGTGGTGGTCTCGCTGCTGTTCTGGTCCATGCAAAGCCGGTCCGGGTCCCCCAGCACGGGAAGCTGCTCGCAGCTCATGCGCTCGGGCCACTCGAAGCCGTACTGGATCATGAGAGGAGAGCAGCCCCTCTTGGCCCTCTCGCAGACGGAGCGGCACGGCGGCAGCGGCTTCTTGTAGTCCGGCAGGCAGATGGGGGTGTACATGCTGCAGAGGAAGAAGAGCAGGTCCGGAGAGCAGCGGATGCGGACCAGGGGCCAAAACTGGTGCACCTCCAGGCCCACCTCCTCCTGGGTGTCGTGGTTGAACTGGTTGGGCATGTAGGTGAGGTTGTAGCCGATCCCTTTGCACATGGGCACGGTGATGGGCTCGCACACTATGTCCTTGGAGGCGGCCAAGGTGAGCCGGGGCAGGTGGGACAGCAGGAGAGCAAGAAGCCCAAAGCCCAGACCAGAGGTAGGAGGCTTCCTCAGGCTAGCCATGGAGGACCAACTGATCTCAGTCACCAAACAATATATATATATATGTTGGAATGTCAAACGTTGAAGCCTGAGTATTTTCTCAGTTCTTTGAATTTACAGCCACTCGTCGGAAAGTAGAAATCCCCAAAGGAAGCCGTAACTGCTCCAGCAGCATGTCCACAGTCCACAGCGTCGTAAATCAGAGCAGAGTTTCATTCCAGACCGAGAGACTTTCACACAAACCCGGGGTCTAAACAGGGCACAAGGCTGGGGGGAAAAAAGGACAAAGTGAAAGGGAAATGTTAGCTAGAGTTCGAGCTTTATTCGCCAACTTCTCGTTCGAATTTTCCGTTCCACCTTAAATGGTGCAGCAGTTACATTCTGGCGCCTGAGGCGCCAGAATGTAACTGCTGCACCATTTAAGGTGGAACGGAAAATTCGAACGAGACGGGTGAACACAGGTTTTAAGAACTCAAAACGACAGTAAATCGTCTTTATTCATAAAAACAAAGGGGTGAAGTAGGTTGGGAGGTTTTTAACGTACCGGAAAAAGCGTATCCATCCATGGACTCTCCTCCTCAGAGCTGAATGGTCAATCATTCACCACGCATACCGTAAAAGAAAGAAGCAAAGCTGAAAGTTCATTTCCTCTTAATGGCTTTAACTAACGTTAAGTGGCTCTGCAGAGCCCCAGTTTCCATTTCCTTCGTCGGTCCTGGTACCGTTTTCCACATGGCTACGCGAAACTCACTCATTCAGGCACTTCTTCCTCCTCATACAAGGAGGTTTGGCTGAAAATCTGAGGTAAAAGTCAGAAAACATTAAAACTCCGAACTTGACTTGACGGGCGGTTTCACGGTTTAACAGCAACAGGTTTCAGGTGCTGCTCCGTCTCAGCTCTGTTTATCCGTTTTAAAGTCTCTTTTTCATCATTTCAGCAGCAAAAATTCAACATTGCAGACTTCAGGAAGGTCCACAGCTCCACTCGCACCTCCTCTCTTTCTTCTTTCCCCGTTTTTAGGCTGAAAACTTAAGCTCTCTCTGTCTCTGACCGCTCCTCTCCGCCTGCCTGCTCTCTCTGGGCTCCTGCTGCTCAGGCGCTAATTACTGAGAGAAGCCGTGGAGTGGATAAGCCACGCCCACAACGCGCCGATGCCACGCCCATTTCCGCAGTAGGCCAATTGGCAGGGGGTTGTTTATAGATGCCACGCCCATTCGTGCTCCTACGCTGATGGATGCTGGATGTATCACTGCTGGTTTGGCTGGTTTGTTTGTAACAACCTGCGTTCACTCAGTTCAATGTACTTAAAGGGGAACTCCACCGACTTTTCAAAATTTCTCAGAAAATTCAATAGTAGAGAAAGAAAAAAGTGATTCAGAGTGGTTTGATGTGAAAATGGTTCAGAAGCTTAATGGTAGTGAAGCTTAGCCACTCAGATTTCTTTATAGTTGGGGTGATAGGAACCAGGGATCACATACACCGATCAGGCATAACATAATGACCACCTCCTTGTTTCTACGCTCATTGTCCATTTTATCAGCTCCACTTACTATATAGGCCTTTTGCTCTGTTCTTCAGTGGTCCGGACCCCCATGGACCCTCACAGAGCAGGTACTATTTGGGTGGTGGATCATTCTCAGCACTGCAGTAACACTGACGTGGTGGTGGTGTGTTAGTGTGTGTTGCGCTGGTCTGAGTGGATCAGACACAGCAGTGCTGCTGGAGTTTTTAAACACTGTGTCCACTCACTGTCCACTCTATTAGACACTCCTACCTCGTCAGTCCACTTTGTAGATGTAAAGTCAGAGACGATAGCTCATCTGCTGCTGCACAGTTTGTGTTGGTCATCCTCTAGTCCTTCATCAGTGGTCACAGGCAGGTTTTTGGTTGGTGGACTATTCTCAGTCCAGCAGTGACACTGAGGTGTTTAAAAACTTCAGCAGCACTGCTGTGTCTGATCCACTCAGACCAGCGCAACACACACTAACACACCACCACCACGTCAGTGTTACTGCAGTGCTGAGAATGATCCACCACCCAAATAGTACCTGCTCTGTGAGGGTCCATGGGGGTCCGGACCACTGAAGAACAGGGTAAAAGGGGGCTAACAAAGTATGCAGAGAAACAGATGGACTACAGTCTGTAACTGTAGAACTACAAAGTGCACCTATATAGTAAGTGGAGCTGATAAAATGGACAATGAGCGTAGAAACAAGGAGGTGGTCATAATGTTATGCCTGATCGGTATATATATATGTATATATAACTAAATTTTATTTACCATCCAGAACAAGCAAGAGACAGCTGACTTTTTATATGCAGTGTTGAAAATACATTTTTGGGGGACTGTTTTGCCCCACAGAGCCCTGTGTGTACCTCTCGACCTGTAGAAAAACTTTCTCAAAATTTTCGCAAAACAGTGTCAGGCAGTGTATTCAAAATGTTATTACACTTCATGTAATAACTTTCTTTGAGGGAGCTTTAGAGACTTCAGCTCTTCAGACGTCTGGTTCCCATCACCGCCACTGTGAACAGTTCTGACCATCAGTTTCTCTAGAACTATTTCACATCACACCACTCTGAATGAGTTCAACGCTTAACATTTTATTTACGCAGAATTTTTGAAAAATCAGCCTAATTACCCTTTAAGTACACTTCTCATGTACCTTTAAAATACAGTTACTTCTACTCAGGTATTTTTCTGTGGAATTTACTTTGTTCTTAACTCCATTTTAGCTCTTAAGTGTTCTTGATTCTCTTTTTTGGGGGGCTTTAACTTCATTCTGTTGTGTTGGTTCAGCTCCTGGGCTGCTTTACTGTCACTCATACCTCTCACTTTGGAGCTTAACCATATCATTTTACCAAAGGGATCCCAAACAGTGAAGAACAGAACCTACTAAACTTCAGTTCCTATGCTGATTCATGCTGGATAGATGCTTTTAACACTTTACTGTAAGTTTATGTTTTTGTTTTTTTTTTAACTGGGGCAAGTTTGACTTTAACATCATGTCACAAATAAACACCAGTAAAAGGTGATTTTTTTTTATGCTCTCTTTTGAAACACTTCTATTTATTTGCTGTTACCATCACTGACTTCCCCAGGAAAAGAACGTTTAAAAGGTGTTACAGAGAAGGTTTCAAACTAGACTACACCACTGGGGCCTACTAATGCTCCCCTGCCTCAGCTAATGTCGTGGACAGAGGAGCACAGCTGTTTTAGCAGAGGAACCCAAAGAGAGAAGGCCTAATGATTTCTAGGTACTAAAAAATGCACGTCTGTAATTTTTAGTTCCTTTTTATTCAATAGAATCATAAATGTATTTAATCTCTGTGCATATTACAGCGCTACTCTTGTTTCACTGTTAAGTTTCAGACAGAAACAATAGGGCTAAATTCTTGAAATGCCAAGTGAAAAATTGGCCAATCAGGAACCGTTTTTCTCTGTGGTTTCTAGATAGATATGGCTAAGCGAGCCCTCCCATTGGTTAGGACTTCAGGAGCTGAAGAGAAGTCCTAATGTGTTAGATTAACTATCAGCTTAATCACAAAGTGACAGAGGAATCAACCAATCACGTTTTGATTTCCAATGGGACCAAATTCAAGAGAAAAATCATCACTCTAGGCCTCTTGGAAGTTCCAGATACGTCACTGGCTGAATACAAGCAGCGACTTAATCAATGGGTTGTTAGAAACAGAAAACAGCGGCGGCGGCAGCTCTTTACCAGCCTCACTACCGAAAGACTCGCTGTGAAACTGCAACAAAGTAAACTATAAATTAGTATGTCTGTCGCAATCTTCATATAAACCCTAATGTCTTTTAGAAGCTCTGAATGCACGTATTAAATCTAGAACTGCCTTTTTTGAATTCCGTTCCGCCTTAAATGGTGCAGCAGTTAATTCTGGTGTTCAAATGGTGAGTTTTTCCCTCATGTTCTGACCAAGTTTTGACATTTATGGCCCTAATTGAAGGCCAAGCTCTAACAGCCACGGTTCGCCTCTGCGTTTTAGGGAGATGTGACGGTTAGATTTGTGCCGGGTTGTGTCAGGAAGGCCGAGCTTCTGGTGAACAAGCTGAAGAGGACTTCAGTGCCAGAACCAGTGTGTCCTGTGTTCCCTCTGTGTTTACCTAGCAGGCCTGTTCAGGACGGAGGTGAGCAAACACTCAGATAATGACTCCTAATGTAAGCTTAATCACTCACACCTTAGAGTGAGAAAGAGAGAGAGAGAGAGAGAGAGAGACAGAGGGAGGGGTGCCCTTCCGCACTGTTACCGTGGAGATAGTATCACCCTGGAGACGGGCCAGCTCTACTTTGATGCTCCCTTGGTGAAAGCCCTGAAGTTCAGAGGTCGCTTCCATGTTTGCGGCCTCGTGCACAAACATAAGAGAGAGAGAACCGTTTTCATTTAGTTCTATTGATTTTGCATTCAGCACCGTCTCTCTCTCAAGCGCAGCGCATACTGTACCGACACTGACAGCTGTGGCTACTGATAGTCTCTTGCTCTGTATCTCTCTCTCTCTCTCTCTCTCTCTCTCTCTAATATCGTTCCAGTACAAATAAAAATAAGTATCTCCAAAATGGTAATTTTACAGGACAAAAACGTTCTTTAATTTCAATGTAAGTTAATGTTGAGAGGTTTTACTCCAAGTGATTTTGCAGTATTTCTATTGGTCCATTCACCATGAAATTGTCGCACAATGTAAAGGACGGCAGCCGTGTTGAAATGATATAGAAAAATAATAATCAACAAAAAAGGGAGATTTTATTTATTTATTTATTTATTTATTTATTTATTTATGACAGCGACAACATTCTTACTGTTTAAAAGCCCTCGGTTCCTAAATGGCCTAGATAAGCTGTACTGGGGGAAGTAAACCCTAATTTACCTGTATATTCTTTGCCCACAAATGTATTTTTTCATAGTGTGAAATTTGGCAAACTTTACAAAATGGTTGCTGAAATTCCATTCAGCAAATCAGCGTTTTTGGAAAAAAAATAAGCAAATTATTCACATCCGACAACTACAGTGTTCAATGAGTCGCTAAATCATGTTGAGCTTCCAAAATGCTACGTCGTTGTAGCTAATCGAAGCTACAGCAGAGACGTTATAAAGGAGGAGACTGGCTACAGGTTTAAATATGAATGGAAAAGCTTGTAACGCTCAACATGGCGTCTGTTTGTGGAGAAAGTCCCGCCCCTCAAATAAAAAGAGCCAATCAGCTGCTTGGTTAAGGTGTGAGTAGGGAAAGCCCCCCCTCGTTGTGGAGATCTGCATAAGTGAAGTAGCCACAACAACCTGAAATAACACTTTTTATGGGTCATTGAGCAAAACGCTACAAACTCTTTATGAGGTTTTTGTCAGATTTTATCAGTGATTTGACCTTCAGTTTCGAGTGTTTTGGTCTCCCTCCACTCAAAAATAACCTGGTCTTGTATGGCTGGAAATAACTGCCTGCATTGCAAAGATGGCCACCTATAAGTTCACACTCGCTCACTGTATTTCATTAATTTATTAATAATTTTGTTTATCAGGCAGCTCAAAAATTCTATATGTCACTGGTGTTATGTGCTTTAATGGCTGGGTAATTAAATTTTTGTCAAAATAATGCCAAATATATCATTTTTATTACTGATTTTAAATAGTTGCACAAGATCACCTGACGGCCAATGAGTCAGCCAATTTACTAAATCCTCAGTTTTAACCAGAATGTCACTGGAGTCACCATCACTGGTGTTACGCCATATTTATACAACACCAGTGACTGTAAAATATGTTTGGAATTAAGATCTCCTTTCTGCATATATGATAATAGGAAATGTT